TTCAGCGTTGCATTTGCAGAGGAGTTTATCTGTTGACCAAAAGTTCTATCTCTTTTCATCAAATTATCCAAAGTCGGAATTTTCTCCTTAGCCGCTTCCCATGAAAAGAAAGCAATCCTGGGGGAAGCCATTGTTTTCTATATGGCTTTAAACGGAAATGATAATTGCTGATCGGAGTTGCTCCGGTCCCAAAAACCAGCAATCTTATATAAAATGAGTTGATGGAAAACTTGCCATTTTTACTCAATTTCCAGATGAGAGTGTCAGGAGTGGCTCTCAAATGAACACAGGCCATCATAGAGAGGAAATTCTCTAATTCTCCCAGCTCCCAATCGTTTAAGTTCCTGCTAACCGCAACATAGCAATGAGCTGAACTGTCAAAAGCCTCAGAAACCAGCAAATTTTTCCGTTGTGCTATAGCATCGATGGCGGGGAAAATAAATTTAAGGTTTCTTTCTTCACACCAAGCGTCATGCCAAAAATTAATCTTGGTGCCCCGACCCACCTGCCAATGGGTGTTTGCAATCAGCTCATTATAATTGGCAAGTATGTTTTTCCATGCACTAGTACCGTGAGGTCTTTTAGGATAGACAAATCTGCCATCATTGTCTTTTTTCATCCATTTAATCTCTATAACTTTCCTCCAAAGGCTGTTATCTACATTTAAATATCTTCAGATCCATTGTTCATGGAAAGCTTTATTGATGTTAACGATAGATCTTATGCCGAGACCACCCAACTTCATCGGCAATTGAATTTCTTCCTATTTAACAAAAATTGATACACTCTTTTGTTCTCCATACCACCCCATAAAAATCTGTTCTGTATAGCTTCCAAACACTTGGCAACTCTGCTAGGGATGGACAGCACCGAAAGGAAGTATATAGGAAGGTTGGAAAGTGTGCTTTTTATAAGAGTTAACCTACCTCCTTAGTGCATTATCTATATTGGTTCTTAGTGCATTGTCTAGTCTTTATCCAAGTTTCTTCTTTTTCTCTTTCAAATAAGAAACATCTCTGTACCCATGTGACTGTGTTCTGCATTCATTTTTTAAAAGAAAATTAGAAATATTATAAATAAAGACTAAGGAGGTGCAGGTGCTATTCAAAAGGATTATATCTATTGAGAAGAATAAAAATGATTTATGAGGATTCCTAGATTCTTCCCACATAGGATGGAATGATAAACAAAAAAATCAAGTCTGGGACATGATACTCTGCCTATCTTTAAAGATGTCTAATACTACTATAATAAGAGATGGTGCCTTGAACGCCTTGTTTTTTTCAGATCACCTAGATAATACCCAAAGGAATATGGGACATGATCCTCTGCCTATCTTTATTGATGGCGGTACCATCCCAAGCCCAAATTTCTTCTGCCATATGCCCGCTACCCGCCCAAGAGAGGTTGAGAATCAGTGTTGAATTTCATAATCTTTCAGATCAAGGCACCAAAGTAGAAGATGATTAGGTGATTCAGTCTCTTGGAGGTATAAAAAGCAGTCATTCACGATGATTCTCAAGTCATATTGGAAACACATAATCTTACTGTTCTCATTTATGATTCTCCAGTCCTTGCTGATTCACTTCCAAAGATAGTGCCATAAGACTGTTCCTAGCAGTTTTCCACCCTCTCCTCTATAAGCATACTTTGCAATAATAACCTTCATCCACAAGCTGCCATTACATATAAATCTTCAAAGCCACTTTGCCAAAAGGGATTTCTTCAAACCTATAGAGTTCTATATACTGAGTCCGTTCAGCTCTCGGAGCATTTACCAAAGTCTGATG